CTCTGAGCCCATCCAAAAACTTTGGTTCCCACTAAGTGGATCTCAACCCAAAATGCTCTGCTTCTCTCCCTGCTCACTTTCATAGCTTGTTGGCTTCTGTATGAGCTACACAAATGTTAGGCATCAGTCTGATTCATGTAGTTCATTGAATAAGGTCAAAGCATCTACCTGAAGATGGTCCAATTTCACAATCATTATTAAAGGGGCTACTTAGAGTTGCATCGTGGCAATTCTGACTCTTTTTCTCTTAGAATGTTGTCTAATATACTGAATTCAGAAACATGGCTCTCTTCTCATGTGTTCTTGAAGATAATAACACCCATCTAATTCACCCTTTAAATCAACACATATATTGAGCACCTTTAATATGCTGTAGGAGGTATATAAAATATATTGTAGTAAATTTTCATAAATTTTTGCTTATGATCATAAAAGTGCTTTTCATAAAAAATAAAGAAAACCATATATCACTCTATGTATGAAGTTTTTCCTCCACTGATATTTTTTTCTAATTTTGGAAATATAGAATTTAAAGCCATATCAACATCCAGATACTGCATATTTCTCTCTTGAGTGTCATGAATCAAAGGAACATTTTCCACTCTTCAAACAACCCAGTGAAAAACTATCAAACTTGGTTCCTTAGGTAATAGATAGCTTTTTGGCTGAAAACAAGAAGCTCTAAATCCTCTAACTGAAATTCAGGGGAAACTAAGTCAGTCAATGAGAAACTTTCCAGTTCTGAGCCAATAGCTTTGAGAGAGAAAAGTCAGTGAGAATTTGGCCATCAATAGCAGATAGCAGGGAGGGGTCAGGGACAGAAGCACCGATTTGTCGATAGCTCAAGTATTATACCTGACAGTCAACTCTATATCTTTAGTGTTTCTGTAACAGGAAAGTATTAAACTATTGTCTGAGAACCATCTTTGACACCACATTTCTTTCAGCTACATCCACATTGAATAAAGAATGTCCTGGTCCACTCAAGTTTTCCATTAGGAGAACAGAAGTGAGATAATGAGGGTATGAATTGATCAGAGCCATTTCTACAATGTATTTTTGTACTCATAGTCTCTTTATAGAGGTCTTTTATGTTTCTTAGTTCTCAGTTTTAGAGAATGTTAATTATGTTGATTCATGCAGATGATTGGGAAATTGAAATGAACTACTTTGCTATCATCAGAGCTAGATTGGAAGCCATGTTGTAACAAAGTCTGAATGTTCTATTGCTATATGCTCAGATAAAGATGGTAGGAAGTCTTATTTTAGTGGTAACAATGGAAAACTAATTAGGTCTGGATAGTCTGTGCTTTCTTTCAGAGTGAAGTAGTCAGGGGCCTAAGCCTGGGAACAAAATGAAAGGGTTCTGACTCAAAGAGGAATATTCAGTAGGGTTGGGTGAAACCAAAGCTCTGAGTTATACTTTTAGTCTTTGTCCTTGAGTTTTAAGAGGTCTATGAAAAAATCTAGTCATGGGACAGATGAGGCTATCAGGGAAGGAAACAGCCAAGGCAGGGCATGTCATTCTGCTTTGGGAGTCAGAAAATGTCTAATATTCCACTATTCTTTTATTTTTTCCTACAGATAATACCTTGTAAGAAATGGCTACTTCAAACCATTCTTCAAAGATTGAGTTTATCCTTGAAGGGCTAACAAAATGCTCAGAGCTTCAGTTGCCACTCTTCCTACTGTTGCTTGGAATATATGTGGTCACAGTGGTGGGGAACCTGGGCATGATCTTCTTAATTGTTACCAGTTCTCAACTTCACTCTCCAATGTATTATTTTCTCAGTCATTTGTCCTTCATTGATCTCTGCTACTCCTCTGTGATTACCCCTAAGATGCTGGTGAACTTTGTGTCAAAGAAGAATATTATCTCCTTTTGGGAGTGCATGACTCAGCTTTATTTCTTCCTTGTTTTTGTAATTGCAGAAGGCTACCTTCTGACAGCCATGGCATATGACCGTTATGTTGCTATCTGTAGCCCACTGCTTTATAACGTTGTCATTTCCCACAGGGTCTGTTCCATAATGATGGCTGTGGTATATTCACTGGGTTTGTTTGGGGCCACCGTCCATACTACCCACATGTCAGTGTTGTCCTTCTGTGGGTCTCATATTGTCAGTCATTATTTTTGTGATATTCTCCCCTTGTTGACTTTGTCTTGCTCCAGCACCCAAGTCAATGAGATCCTGCTGTTTATTATTGGAGGAGTTAATACCGTAGCACCTACACTGGCTGTCCTCATCTCCTATGCTTTCATCCTCTCTAGTATCCTCCATATTTGCTCCACTGAGGGACGGTCCAAAGCCTTCAGCACTTGTAGCTCCCACCTCATGGCTGTGGGCATCTTTTTTGGGTCTATAACATTCATGTATTTCAAGCCTCCTTCCAGCAATACTATGGAACAGGAGAAGGTGTCCTCTGTGTTCTACACCACAGTGATTCCCATGCTGAATCCCCTGATCTACAGCCTGAGGAACAAGGATGTGAAGACTGCACTGAGGAAGGTGGTTGGGACAAGGTAGACATCCTGACAAAGTGGGACCTCGTAGGGAGCAAGAAGACATGGGCCAGAAGAAAAGTTGTCATGGGCTCTTTGTAACTTTCTTTCTCTCTTACAGAGTGAAAAT